TCCTGTGGAGCTGGTCCGAGGCAGTGCCTTGAAATGTGCCGGGTCTGCTCAGCATCTGCTCCCAGCAGCCCCAGGCCCCCGGGCTAAACCAGCCCCGGGCAAATCAGGCTGGATGGGATCAGCTGGTACAGGTCTGGCACAACAAGGGCACAACATCCCCAGCAGGACAGCATCCCCACAGAGCTCCCTCCCCCAGCCCTGACGTGTGTCCCTCATTGCCTGCGGAGCATGTGGCTGTCACCAACAGCTCTCCCGGGCTGCTGGAAGGTGGGAGCATTCCTTGACCTGAGGAGCACCAGCTCCATCCCACCCTGCACTGCCTGTGTGTGAGGGACAGGAAAAGGCCATCAACAGGTGACATGAGTCACAGGGAAATGATGGTCTGGTCTCAGGCAGGGAGAAATAAAATTACTGTGGAAATAATCACCTCACAGAGCTGCCCAGCGGAGAACAAAGGAAGCTGGTCCGGGTAGGAACCCTGGGACAATGGTGGCACCAGCTGTGGGGACAGGGCAGGCAACAGAACTCAAAAGTGGGCTTCTTCCTGCCTGCTGAAATTAGAGAACAATGAGCAAAACTTCTGTGGTAGGAAAGGGAAGCAGCTCAGCAGGAACACACAGCTCTGGCCCCAAGTGCTTCCAGCAGACCAGCAGCATGCAGCTCCTCCCAGCCCAAACTGGAATTCTGCAATCCCAAAATTACTGGATAGGAAGGAACAGACAAGCACACAGAGCTGTTAGTGCTGTCACATTCTGATGACTAAAAGCTGGAACACTTGAACAGTGAAAAGCCCCTTTTGGGCTCGCAGTGCTCCGTGCTTGGTGAGCAGGTAACAGAGGAACACACTGGGAGTCAAGGGTCTCTTTATCAAACTAATTTTTTAACGAACAACCTTGCAGTGATGCCAAGAGAGAGCAGAAAGCTCCCAGTCAGCACTGCTCTGCAATCAGCGATTAATTTGTTGCCCGATGCTTTGCTTGCTGCCCATGACAGAGCTCATAAATCCTCATTTTTATTGATGTCCTGGCCGAGGGGGCATGCTGGAAAGGGCTGGCTTGTGCTGCAGGTGTCCTGGGCAATCACCTTGCAGGATATGACAAACTGCTTAGAGGCTTTTGTAAAGCCTTTTAATCATTTTATCAGTCTAATGCTTGTTTTTATTGTCTTTGCTGTAAATCCATGGCAGCAGCTCAATTTGCATCCCGTTCTTTCTGGGAAATGGAGTGTGAGACCCTCCCACAGCAGCAGGGCAGTGGCTGTCACCTCTCAGTGCCACAGCCCCAGCACAACACAGAGCATCTCCAGTGCCACCAGCAAGGTCCCAGTTGGGCCCAGTGGAACTGGGGCCATTCCCCCCCCATTCTTGGCTGCTGGTGTTACCACAGTGGAGGGGGGGACATGAAGAAAAATCGTGCCTGTTTAAAAAAAGACAGAAATTTCCTACATGGTGAACAGGTGGAAGAAGGAACCAGTGCTGGGGGAAGGGAGACTGATGAAAAAAATTTTTGGCCATCAATATCTACTGGACAAGTCTTTAGAAGTATTGAAGTCTGGGTCTTAACAAGTCTTAAAATCTGGGTCTCCAGCACCTAAAATTGCGACTGAACAGAGCAGTGCCTTTACATGTTGGTATCCCAGGTGATACAACTCCAAGTTCTGTGAATGTCTCCTCTCAACACAAGTGACAATTGTATCTTATTAAATCTGTCATCAAATTGCAGGTCTCTGAAACGGTGCAAGTCAAGGAGAAGCAAAGCAGGGGGGTGTTTCTGTACAATACCCAGTGGAGCTGAGGAAGCCTTTCACAGGGGAAAGGTGTTATTTCTGTCACTTTGAGCAGAAGGAAACTCAGGGAATTACTGAGTGTTTTCTCATCCCACTCATGATCTTCCCAGCTTCCCCAGTGCACTCCAGGACAGCACCAGGCTCGGGCTGTGGCTCAGGGAGGTGGAGCCCCATGCACAGGGGTCACTGGAGGGAACAGAGGCCTCCTGAGGAACTGGGGCTCCCCTTTGTCTCCAGCTCTGCCGTTCCACCCGCTCTGCTGGCATCTCCCTGTGCCAATATTGGCACTAAAGGGCCACAGGAGGCGGCTCAGCCTCACCAGAGGCTCTGTTATCTTCTCAAGCCCCACAGCAGCTCTCTTCTCCTGAGCTCCAGTCCTGCCCAGGGACAATTCCCACTAACTGCTGTGCAGTGGGAAGGAGGATGGTGCCAGGAGGTGCAAACAACCTGCAAGGTCACACGAGCTGCTGGCTGGGCCTCTCCAAAGATCACCCAGACCCAACCCTGCTTCATCAGTGCTGCTCAAAAGAACTGAAGTCATGGCTGGGAATTAAGAGGAAGCAAGGAAAGTCCTATCAGCTTACCTCTGAGCATTAAAATAACCATTAATTACCACTTGCTCATCAAGCTACAGCTTAATGAGGACCAATAGAGATGGGGCCATGACCTTTCCTCCCTCCCTGCACACTCCTTTCCTTACAGCCATGCTCTGAGCTGTGATCTCTGGTCCTGCCTAGGGTAGATGCTCAGTGTCACTGCTGGGACAACTCATCAGCTGTGACCAGCTCACAAATCTGAATGAGGCTTAAAGCAAGCATTCCCTGCTCTCATTATATTTAGGTGTTCCTAGTGTAGGTACCACAGAATCCCAGAACAGTCTCAGTTGGAAGGGACCTTAAAGTTCATGTTGTTCCAAACCCTTGGCATTGGCAGGGAACCTTTCACTAGACCAAGGCTGCTCATATTATTATAAATATGCTTTGTTTTTAAGCTTTTTGGGATTATTATTTGCTGTGTTTATTGGCCAGTGCATGGCTATGAGGGCTAAGAGGGATTCCACTGCTGTTTATGGTCCTGCAAGTGATACTGGCCACCCTGCAACTTTTGGGAAAAAGGAGATGGAAGGGAAGAAATGTATCTGAAGCCTAATGAGGACACAAACACTTGCCAGATTTTAATTTGAAATGCTTTCTTTCTTTTCAACCATATCCTTTTCCGCTGGACTCTGCAAAGAGCAGAGCTGGACAATCGTACGGGAAGCTGGGGAAGACTAACAATAGAGGAGGAGTGGAGAGGGGAGTGGAACCAGCCTGTCTCCTTGTACTCAAAATGAAACATGATAAAGAAACAAATTGCATAAAGGATGACTAACAAAGACAGCTTTAAAAATCGTTTCAGGGTTAGTCTTCTCAGGTTGACAGCAGGGACAGCAGGAAGGGACATTCGGTTTCAGGCATTACGTAAGTTTTAGTCCATCTCCCTTTCAAGTTCTCCGTCTGCTCCTCCCACGTATCCACCAGCCACCCACGGCCCCCGGGACTGCCTGCGGACACCCCGACCCCCAGGCACGGCCACTTCTTTCTTTACAATCACACAACGGCTTTGAAAAATCCGTGATTTCTGCCTGGCCCCTCCGCTCTGCTCCGCTCCCGTGGATGCGAGGGAATTGCTTGCCTGCTATCCGTGTTCCCAACCCACCGGATCCCTTCCGCAGAGCATCAGGGCCGGAGCAAACCCCTTCCCAGCAAAGCGTGTCACCACCGGCTCCTGCCACCTCCTGTGGCCCCGGGAGCGCTGCGCTCCTGGGCGCTGATGGAATGCAGAGGTCGGCTCCAGGCGCAGCTGCCCCGACCCCCCGGGCTGATTCCCCAGGAAACAGCACAAACATCTGTCACCGCAGTGCCCGACAGACCCCGGCGGGGCTCTGCTCCAGCACTCCAGCCACTGCAAGCTGCCGTAGCCCCGGCGGTCCCCACCAGCTGAAACAACGTGTGGAAAGCCTGTTTGCTCCGTATCTGCTCCCTGTCCCTTTTGAAAATGCCCTATATAAATTCAAACGATTGTAAAGGTCCAGCTTTTCCAGTCTGGATCATTCACTTCCAGAGGAAGCTTCCAGAGGCGCAGGGAACACTTTGTCACTGCAGTGCCATTGCCCTTTGGCAGATCCTGGTGAACCACAGAACAGAAAGGGAAGTGGAAAACTACCAGGCACTTACCCAAGCCTCCACGGGACAGGGAAATAAGATCAGGACAGAAGAATAAGATCGGGAGAGAAAAGCAGTGCTGAGGTCCCAGGGAAGTCAGCCGCTCCGGGAGCAGGGTGGGTCCATCCCTGCCCGCCGGCCGTGCCCGGTTCGGATCCCGCTGCTCTGGAGCCGCCCGCAGAGCCCCGCACCGCCAGACTTCCTCTGCAGCTGATAGCGGCCTTGTGAAAGTAAACGGACTGCTGCCCTTTGGCAGGGGAGGAGGGGGCTGGGAAGCTCAGCCCCTTCCCTTCCTTTGTAATTCAAACCCTTCCTCGAGGCTCGGTGTTTTGGAGGAGAGGCATCTGCTCCCAGCCCCGTCCGAGGAGCTCTCACCGCTCCCGGGCCGAGCGGGCTGCGCTCGGGGCTCACACCACAAAGCAGCTCACTCCCAATCCAACCCCAGCCAGCACTTTTCTGTCTCATACACAATTAGCACAGAACAACTCACACAGAGGTAAGGAGGGAGAGCTGGAGCGCGGGTTGCTGTGTCTGCACCTCTGATTCATTTTAAGATTTCCTCTTTAGTTATGCAGTAACATTCTCCCTCCCATCACTCCCAAAACATTCCGTATCCACCATCCCTGCTGGGGCACTTGGCCTGACGCCACTGCCAAAGACTGGGCAGGGCTGGGAGGAGGGATGGGAGCAGGGATGGAGGAGGGATGGAGAAGGGATGGGAGCAGGGATGGAGGAGGGATGGAGAAGGGATGGGAGCAGGGATGGAGGAGGGATGGAGAAGGGATGGAGGAGGGATGGAGGAGGGATGGGAGCAGGGATGGGAGCAGGGATTTGAGGAGGAATGGAGAAGGGATGGGAGAAGGGATGGAGGAGGAATGGAGAAGGGATGGAGGAGGGATGGAGGAGGGATGGGAACAGGGATGGAGGAGGGATGGAGGACGGATGGAGGACGGATGGGAACAGGGATGGAGGAGGGATGGGAACAGGGATGGAGGAGGGATGGGAACAGGGATGGAGAAGGGATGCTGGTTGTGTCAGAGTGCACATTCCCGACCCTCCCTGACACGGCGCTGCTCCCGAAGCCTGTCAGTGCAGTGTCAACATCTTTCCATAGGAACTGCACCAGGATCAGGCAGCTCTGATCTTTATTACTTCCTGAAAACAGTTGATCTTTAAAGCTCAAACTATAACTGCTGTCAGCTTAGCTCACAGCCTCCTTCTATCGGTATTTACAAGTTACATTTTATATTGTAAAGAAGTCCAGGCTCAAGGGAGTTTGTCCACAAAGCAGACAGATGGGAATTAAAGCACATTTTCCTCAAATCTGCCTGAAATCTAAACTTTTATTATTAGCCATCCCCAGTGTGATAATAAACTCCAGTCCCTGACAGCAACATATGGATCTCATCTCCACTGTAGTCCAATATTACAATAATCCACAGTGACCTGATAAACAGGCTCAATCCAACAGATTTTACTTCACCCTATCAGTGAGAAAGTTATGGTATATGACAGAAATTCACAAAAAAAAAAACAAAACCACCAACCTGGAATATTTTGTGTTATTTCCCACAACCCCCTACAACTCCCAAATACGTGTGTCTGTATTGTTCTAAGACACAAGGAGCTTGTTTTTCTTCTAATTACACTGGTTTGAAGTAATTATTCTCATTTATTCTCTATGTACATGAGCATATCAAAATAAGAATTGACCCAGTATCAAATCTTCCCTGTTTTAGGAATTATTCCAACTGCTTGTTACACTGAAGGTCCATGAGAGCCTGGGAGAATGTATCCACATGCAGGCTTATCTCTTCATTTCAGACCATTCATCATTCCTTGCCTGGAAGCAACAGTTAATTTCCAACAACTCAATGTCAAGATGGCAGTTTAAATCCTCTTGAGGATTGCCCCAGGAGAAGATTTTGTCCCAGTTCTTTTGCAGCCGCTGTAGAGTCAGCCTCTTTTGATGTCACTCAGTTTTAGAGTGGGATAGAAATAAAGAAAGAGTGAAGATCTACTGGTGACCATCCCAACTCAAGGAAGGATCATCTCTCCAGAGGCTGCTCTTGGGATTTCAACAGGGACAGAAATTAAGAGTCAGAATGGTTTAGGTTGGAAGGGGCTGTAAAGATCACCCATGTTCATCCCTCCTGCCACCTCCCACTATCCAGAAAGGAAAAACACGGCCTGCCAGAAAATGCTGCATGTCATGGAGAGCATTTCCTAGGGTTTATCATTTTCTCTGGATATAGATTAGCACAAGTCTTGCATGAAGTAGGAGATACTTCCAAGTTAGAGTGGAGGAGAAGGACCTGAGCCAACACAACAGACTGGACCTTTCTGAAATGTCACATCACAACCAGACCTGTCCCCCAGACCTCCCAAACAGCAACCACAATAAAAGTGCCAGAAAGAACGTCCAGAGCAGAGCAGAATCTTGACATCCCCTTCTCCCCTTTTCTGTCTCTTACATTTATTTGGATTCAGCTTTATCTCTTCAGCACGTTTTACTGGTGTCAGTGGCCCTTTTACCAAGGACAATCTGCACTGAACATTTTGGAAAGCAATGATTTAAGAAGCTGCAGGTAGCACAGCAAAGTGGCTGACGAGCCATCTCTGGAAATCAGAAGGTGTCTAAAGAGGGTGTTTACAAGCAGAATGCTGCTAAAAGTCTGCCTTGGTTGCAGATAACAAGGATGAGACAATGACAGATTTCCTTCCCCTGGCAGCCAAGAGCAGCTCCCCGTGATTGCCTTGCCGTGTTTATCCAGGATGCTGGGAGAGAGCAGGCACCAAATATGCAATTAATTGGCAGTTTGCAAGAGCATATTGCCTAAAGATAAACAGAGTGGGTGATCATGTCGTATGGAAAACGGCTGAGTGCTGCAGATGTAGTGTTGACCCAGTTTAAAAAAAAAAAAAGAAGGTTTTTTTTGTTCTCTTGGAAAATAAATTTACTGAAATGAATACTTTTTTTCTTTTTGCATGGTCCCTCTGGCCTTTGAATATTTTGTGTACGTAAGCCATTCCAGGTTCTTTGTTAATCTGGGAGTACATAGTAAATTATGAATTAGCTGTGAAGTTTTCCTGCTGACACCAGAGGAGCAGGGGGTACACTGTGACATGGAGCTCATGGCCTTCACTCTTCACAGAGGGGTTTTGTGAGCAGGAGAAGACACAAGTGGATCGAAGTGGGAATCAGGTGATGTGGAAAGGAACGGAACTGCCCGGGTCAGTGGATGTGGAGATCAGGTCCAGAGGGAGGAATGGTTTTTCACAGAACTGGGAATCACAGAATGGTTTGAGGTGGAAGGGACACCCCCACTCTCCCAGGCTGCTCCAAGCCCTGTCCAGCCTGGGCACTTCCAAGGCCGGGGCAGCCACAACTTCAGGGAGGAGCTGGACCAGGATCAGGGGCTTGGCAAATGGAGAGAGCTGTGAGCAGGAGGGACAGGCTCTGGTTTCCAAATACAGATATTGTCAGACAAAAGTTGACATGAAACCCAGAGTCAGGGAAGGAAGAAGATATGGGAGAAGACTGAATGCTACAGAGGAGCTCAGGATAGGATACAGAGTGTGGAAAATACGCTGAGGCTGGAAAGGGAAGGGGAAAAGCAACCTGAACGTGATGCTGCTTGAGCTGGGAAGCTGGAGAGACAGAAGGGATATCTGTGACACCATCAGGGCAGCAGCACAAAAGCTGTGGATCAAGTGCGAGGCACAAATGCTAAAGAGAGAAGCTCTCACTTTCAGGAGATGGAATTCATTAGGAGGAAAGTCCTTGATGCAGAATTTCAGACTTAATGTTCTGCAGCTCCTGTGCAACAGTAGCAGGCAATGAAAATCAGTGCCCTCACAGGACAAAAGCACACTCTCCTCTCTCTTTTTTTATATTCAGTGCTATAAAACTCAAGCCCAAAGCATGTGACAGATCTCTCACTTCATTTTACTGTGACCACACTGACCTTACCAGCACTGGTCAGATCCAACAGGAAAACAAGTCATGACCTGGCAACTTCTTTGCAAGGATAATGCACCGAGATCCTATCTGGCCTGACCAACGTGATGACACCAAAAATGCCTTTACAAGAATTCCTGATCCCATGGGGAGATTGTTACAGCAGGCTCGGACTTGTTGTGTTGCTGGATCCTCTCCCTGTGCCCAGGCTCTGAACAGAGTGGATGGGGTGCACTGCACACTCCACAGGTGAGGACTTTCCTCCTCCTACACCGAGGTGATTCCAGGTGAATTCTTGATGCAGGACTCAGTCCAGATTTCCTTTGCATTCCCCCAAAGGCCAGGCCTCAAGGAGGAATTGGAACACCAACACAGGAGCTTGATGTTTCAGAAGCATGGCAAAAATTCAGCAGCTTTTTAAAAATCTTTTACTTTTAGATCAAAGTTTCTGTATTTGGGTACCTAAAATTAGCTAGCAAAATAAGTGACATTTTATTCAGAGATGCAAAATTTCCATTGATTTTAATGGATGCAGCATCCCAGAAAACTAGGCCACTTATTTATGTACCTACAGAAGCATTTGAATCCTTAACTTGAAGGAGCCAAATTTGTAAATGATGACCTTATGTTTTAAAAATCATGAGACAACTCTGCATGCATCAGTCTGTTATTCCCTTTATTTCTGTCAGCAAGGCTCATTCAGAGGTAGATTTAAGCTGTAAAATGTGCCTTTAAAGTTTCCTGCAATGAGGTCTCCTCTATTTAGCAAAACACTTAGGCACAGCTTAATGTCTTCCTGAAGAGAAGCACTTGAGTGAATCAAGGCTAACAGCTTCCTCACAGCCCTCCTTGAGATGAGGAACGAATCTCTGTCTCCCCACAGAAAATTGCTGATCCTGATGGGAATGGCTCAGCAGCCTTGAAGACTCTTTCTGCCTCATCACTTTACCCTAGGAACAGACCAAGCTGGCACAGTGCTTGGGTCTACAAAGCACAGCAAGGTAACAGCACTGAAAAAACACTCCACAGGTGTTCCAGGCCAGGCTGGACAGGGCTTGGAGCAACCTGGGACCGTGGAAGGTGTCCCTGCCCGGCAGGGGCTGGGACTGGGTGAGATTTAAGGTCCCAAAGCATTCCCTGATCCAGGATTCTGCAGGGATGTGTGTTTTGGGCAGGGTTGGGGTGGAGGGAGGGAAAGGGCAGCGAGAAGCAGCCAAACCCCAAGCAGGAGGTGTCCCTGGGGAGGGCAGGTGTAAAGCACTGAGACACCATCCTTTGGCTGATGCAAAACCTCAACCTGTTCCTTACCTTGTAACTTCTCTCTGATAATTCTGTGCCACTGTGGGCCCCTCAATAATCTGCCATGTGGCTGCTTAAGGAAAGAGCTGTATAATTTACCTCTGATTGTTTCAAACACTTGGCAGGCAACAATAGATAAAACTGACAGGACCTTCACAGTTAACAATGCAACCTAATGAAGTGAAATACTGCTCAGAGAAATATTGTGACAGGTATCCATGGATTCAAGTAAAGGAAAAGATGTGGTGGGGTAGACTGGGCTCTGCAGTCCTTCAGCCCTGACTGTGAAGAGAAGTCATCAGATCTTCCTTCCCTCTGTCTCAATTGTGTCAGGCTGGTCTTGTTACACAGCACTGAATGCAAGTTTGTGAAAGCACAGAAGTTACAAAATTTCCCATAGAGGAGCTAAAATGAGTTGAGCTCCATTCTGCCACATTTTCACATTCCTGCAGCTGTTTCCAGCAGGAGTTCACCACTTGAATGGCACGGGCCATGGGGAGAAGCAATGGGGGAAAGCCCTGGTCTTGGGCAAACACAGGAGCAGGGGAGAGCTGCCAGCAGGAGCATTTGTGTGCAGTGTTCACAGGGACAGCAGCATTTGTGTGCAGTGTTCACAGGGACAGCAGCATTTGTGTGCAGTGTTCACAGGGACAGCAGCATTTGTGTGCAGTGTTCACAGGGACAGCAGCATTTGTGTGCAGGGTTCACAGGGACAGCACTGCAGGAGCTGGGCTCGGGGGCTCTGGCCCAGCTCACTCCCAAAGGCACTGGCAGGACATGGAACCTCGGGAGGAAGAGTTAGTGCCACTGCACACAGCCACAGGCACTTTCTAGTTTCCTTTATCGTACAAATTGCAGCTCAGAGCCTGAATTATTCAGAGCAGACTCCAGTGACAGCTCCTTGGAGCAGGGGGGATGCAGGCCCAGATGGCGGCTGCAGTTTCCCCTGCGCAGGCGTATCCCGACTCCCAGGGGCTGTGGCTGGACAATTAGCACCATTTGCTAAGCAGGCAGGAGGCAGCGAGGCGAGCACACCGTGCTGGGCAGGCAGAGGGGCTGGAACCCTCTGCCACCAGCCCCTCTCAGGACAGAGGATGCTGCAGCCAGCCCACACTGGGAGGGGACAGAGCCCAGGATGGATTGGGCTGGTTGTCTGTGGTGTCACCACTGCCTGGGCTAAAGGAGACACTCCCAAGGTCTAATGACCAAAAGCACTGTCAGGGAGCTGCTCCCTGCTGTGATCTTCCTGTAGGCAAGGTGTGATTTGTCTGGGTGTGCTGTGAGGAGGCTCTGTGCACAGAGCACAATCAATAACTTGATGATAAATCTATCTATATCTATATCTACACACAGCCCTGGTCACCCCTCACAACAATGCTTCTGGCTGCTTGGTCACTCTCCATGCTGCCAGCTTTGGCCACAATGGAGAGAGACATTAGGCTGCAGCCTTCCCAAAAAATCAGGGGCAAGCAGAGCATCTGGACTTTGAGGCAAGTTAAACGCTGGGAATTCATTTGGTTTCCATGGTGAAGGACTTAGAAGTTTCACTTACCCTAGGAAGAATGGGAGGTTTCCATTTGCTGGCCTCAGGTAAAAGTATAAAGAAAATTACATCAGGATGGGAGTGGAGACAACTGACTGGGAGAAAACTACAGGAGAAAATGAAGGGGGGAAATGCTGCAGCTCCAGCAGCACTGCCTCAGTAACACCAGTGTGATGCATCCTGGCCACATTTTTTTATTACCTGTCCAACTCTTTTACACAACTCAATAAAGGCCACCCTGACCTATGATGGGAATGTGCTCCAGCAGCCCTGAGGAAACAAACAGGCAGATCCCTGGGAAGGCAGGAGAATGGAATTGTGGCTGTGGAGGCACACAAGGCCACGCAGGGCTCAGAGCCCACTGGGACCCCTCGGGCCCAGGGGCAGATTCTCTTCATCCATGGCCACACTCTGCCTCTGCACACAGCCAGTTTATCTGCTCTGGACAAACCTCGAGAGGGAACATTTTAAAAAGCATCAGGTCTGCTCTCAGCTGTACCTCCCAGCACCAGGATGCAGCATTCCCCAATAATTTAAGCTAAAGCTGTTCAAGGAAATGTGAGACGTGCCAGGCTCCGTATTTCTAATGGGAGCTGCCACTGCCAGCCCCGGAAATCAGATGGGAAGAAGTCCTCAGACAAGGAGACTGATTAAAAAACATAACTGACAATGGCAAATAGCTTAAAGGATTTTAAATCCCCAAAATTAAATCCATCCTCAACCCAGAAATAAAACATACAGAACATCTTTACTTTCACACAAGTCAAAGTTAATTTAAAGGCAAGGCAATACTGTAAAGGTCACATGGATCTTTCACGTATCCATATATCTGACAGCTCTGTTTTTGAACTGGATTTGAAATGAATTTAAAATTTACTGATGCTTCTGAACTCATTAAACTAGAACTTCACAGCAGAAGGCAAATAGGGGCAACTGGATCAGATCAAACATCATTTTCTGGGTGGCAAGAGGGAAGAATTCTCCTGCCTGGAGCACTGAAAAGATACCAGGAATTCTTTGGAGCAGCTGCCCCTCTGCCCTGCAGCCCAGGCACCAAAGGCTCTGCAATGTGTCTCCACTGCCCCACCATTCCCTGCATGGCACAAACGTTCCCACCAGCAATGGCAGCAGTTTTGTCTGTCAGTGTGTTGCTCTCTCTGGGTTAAGCAGAACTTATGTTCCATTCACAGAAGAAAATCATTCTCTGTGTGAGAAAACACACAACAGGCTCGAGTGTGACACTGTTGTTACCACACCCCAGCAAAGATGAAAGAAACAATAATAATAGTAACCAAAAGTTTAAAAACATCTCTCTGCATATTTCACTATGACAGAGATTTGCATGTTCATCTCCAAAACTGGGTGAAAAGAGTCTTAAAATATTGTTTTTGCTATTTTAACTGTAAATACAGGAAGCTTTTTCTGTCTCTACCTACTCAATGACACCATTTCAAGACTTTTTTCTACATTTTCGTTACACAGAAAGGGGAAAAATAGAAGTAAGGAAAGAAAGTCCTGGCTTTTAACTAGTGAAAACTCAAAGTAGTCGAAGTTATCTAATAATCCTATGAAAGTGGGGGATGTTATTAGCATGGAGTGAATCAGAGGGGGTTCTGGAAAAGCTGCACAGGGCAAGTGACCCTGAGCTGTGGCTGGAGCCAGGGACAGTACTGAGAGGGAATCTCTCTGAGCCAAGGTGTTTGAAGGCTGCAAACAACCTGGATGTTCAGTTTGGTGACTCACAGCTTGTGGCAGCCCATAAAGACCTTTGTGTGATTAATCTCTCAGATACAGTCCCAAAATCCAAGTTTCAAAGGCCCCTGGCTGCAGCATTTGGGTCCCTGGGGAATGAAGCCCCAAACCTGTCTCTCCTGAAGCTGTGCTGAAGCTGCCTGGTGTCATCCAGGGGCTGTCCCTCACCAGGAGAACCAGGAGCTGTTCCCAGAAGCAGCTGGAGGGATCAGGGCTCTGCAGCTCCTGCACTCATTCCCTCCCAGCTCCCAGCCCGAGCTGGAGTTCACTGCAGCCTCCACAACACAGCCCACCAGTCCCGTGTCCTCCGGATGTCATTGATAAATACTAAATGAAACCACTTGGAAAGAGGGAGAAAAAACCCATCTCCAGTGTTTTGGAGCACCTTGAGAGGCCAACAGCAGTGGCAGGCCCAAAAGGAAAGGTCTGAGGGGCCGAGCTCTGGGACAGCAGCTTTGCAGGGTCACACAGACAGGTTTGCTGGCACTCCTGCTGCACTTGTTCACATGTTCAACATGCCTTGTTTCACTGGGATGAGGGTGGAAGAAAACTGCTTCCCATCAGTTTGCCTGTGTTTGGGCTCTGTGAAGTATTATTTCTTAGAGGATGAGGCAGTTTATTGGCCAGGGATATTTCAGGCGTGTTTATTTTGTTGTTGTTGTGAATTTGGATTAGAGGCATCTCCTTCCTCCCCACAATTGCTGGCAGCATGCTATAAAGATATGATTAATTAAAGTGTGACTATGAATCCACTCAGAGGCTTAGAGTTTTCCTCCTCTTAAGACTAAACAGAGAAAGGGCCACTTTACGAAGTTCAGACCTTGAAGCAGATTTCAAAGTACACTCAGTTTAGCTCATCAGTTTAGCTCAGCACAACGAGGAGGTTCAACCTTCAATATTTAAAAGCTATGAGCCCTTGGAGAGAAGAGACTTCTGCTTCTATTCCAATCCCAAACATGGAAATAAATAAATAAGAGCTAAATAACCAAGCCAGGCTCAGAAAGGACTCCAGCAGCACGGCAGAAATACCCTGCTCACATGGGGGACTCCTCCTTAGCCTAAGTGACATTTTTTTACCTTTGTAGCAGCTCAGCCATGGAACGCACACAGTCCTGAGGCTTTAGATTAAAACAACACATTTTGGCTCTTGCTCTGCAAGAAGCCACTGGAAATCCTGGAAGACCTTCAAAACTGAGCAGTGTAGTACTTGAAAAAGAGACACAGCTTGACTAAATTGAAAAATCTGAATTTCCTAACATGGACTTAAAAGGTGCTACTGAATCTTTAATGACTGCAAGACAGAGTTGGCTCAATCTGAGCAGGGCTCAAGGTCTTCCTTTGAAGAAGTCAAACTTAAAAAAAATAAAATAAGAAAAATGCCTGCTACATTCTAAGGTCACAAAGGGTTCCATGAAACTCTGCATCTCTCCCAACTCCGACTTCCTAAGTGACAGTCACTTGTGATTCCAGAGCACCCACTTCAACCCAGCATAATTAGCTGGGGAAGGAAAACACACCAGCCTGAAAGATTCCTTCTCTAACAAGAGGTTGTGAGGGGCAGCGTGCTGCAGAAACAGATGGAAAATGGGGCGATTTATTTATTTCAAGAGCACAGAATTCCTATTCATTAAATGATACTTTCAAGCTGTTTGGTACCCACAGTTTTCTGACTGACGGATGGCTCAGAGGGAAGGATTGGGAGTGGGAAGCACAGGTTTTGTTGCTCATGGTATCCATGGGGTCATTCCCAGCCCTCTTTTCCAAGCTCTCACACTAATTTCCCACCACCAGTATTATCTTCAGCCCCCACAGTCAGTTCCTCTGCATCACTAATTCTGTTTTAGACAAGACAAGGCTACAGTGAAGCACCTAAACAGATGAGCTGTTAGGCAGAGCTGTAAATTTACATGGTGCAAGACCAAAAATATAAATTGAAAATTAAATATTTAAAGTTTAGAGGAGGGCAAAAAATAGATAAACTCTTTGAAAGAACAGCCATTATTAGAAATTACAAATCTGCATGCTAATTTATGTGGTTACTATTGACATTTTCTTTCTAATTCAGCTTTTAGCCCTTTTCTTGCATGCAGATAAATTCTAGTTAAGAGCATTGTGATGTGCAGAAGGCTTAATCCAACAGAAACCCCCTAATATGCAATTTAAGGATCTCAGGTTCATTAATAGTCCTAGGAGCAGCTTGTTTAACAGATTATTTCATGGGGCTGAGTCCATCTGAGACAGTGGGGACAGGAATTGCCTTCCCACAGACACCCTTTGGAATGTCCAGGCTCTGTCCAGGGGATGGAGCTCATTCCAAGGGCATTCTCCACCCTCAGTCCATTTACTGGACAGGTAAAAACTGCAGAATCCTGGAGAGCTCTGTTTCCCTGCAATCCCAGCATGAGCTGTCCTGTCTGCAGGCATTTCCCTCAGAAAATGAAATGAATACCCAAGCACTCTGCTTCTCATCAGCCATCGATTCACCTACTGGCAGTTTCAGTAATAAATTAGATCAATGTAATTATTGTATGTGCACACAGATGTCAAATCACAATCACTGTGATCAGATCATCTGGGTGTTTCCTAGAAAAACAGTATTTATCCATACTTGGTGGGGGAGAGAAGGTTCATCTGCCCATCCAGAACCCAAAAGAGACAAGCTTCCCAATGAGGTTTTGATGCTGTATTTCATGGACTAAATTCTGAAAATAATTTACTCTGGGAAACGAACGTATTATGTTTCTAGTTCTGTGCTCTATCCAACCACTTTCTCCTCAATAGATCCAACTATCAGAAAGGCCAAAAATTCCCCAAACTCTATAGCTTTCAATGTCCTGGAACAAGTCAATATTTTGTGGGCACAATGCCCATCTCTGGTGTTGACAGACAGCAGCTGAGCTGCAACAGAGACCCCAGAGGAAAGCACCAAGACCCCCAGAGAACAAACCCTGTCCCCAGGCCAAGATACCCCCACAACAGGCAGCCAGACATCCTTGCCCTGCTCCCCCATGAACCTCCCTGCTCTCAGACCTGCACTGGGATCCTCTGGGAAGCAGAAGAGACCTGTGGGGTGCTTGGCTCCTCCAGCACATCCTCCAGGCAGGGTGAGGGCTGGCAGCTCTCCCTGCTTCTGCAGGAGCCTGCTCTGACTGACACCTGCTGCAGGTGAGTGCCCAGTGCCTGGGTGCTGCATCTCCCCACCTCATCTCCTGTTTACCTGTCAATTATCCACCTTAAATTCTTCCACCTCCCCCCTGTTGACACCTGGGGAGCACAGGGTTATGAAATGCAGGCTCTGTTATCTGTCAGCGCCCCAGATATCAGCAGTGCCTGTGCTCCAGGCTCCTGCAGCAGCTCAGGACTCTCCCGAGGCAGAGCAGCTCCCCAGCTCTGACTCGGGGTGCCGGGGCTGTGTTCAGATCACACACCAGGGCCTCTCAGAGCCGTCCCGAGGAGCAGCCACCAGGGCCCGAGCCTACTTTGCTGCCTCCAATTTAGCTTGTTAACCATTCCCAAAAATGACTATATTTTAATTACTGTTTTCTGAGAATTGGGATTATTTTCCTTCTAAATATATTCGTCTGATTATCTCCAGGATGAAATTCATTTGGTTAATTACCATCTTTTTAATTTGTTTAAGACTGTGTTTCAGTTTCCTGTGCTGTAACACCTCCCTGCCAGCTCTGCCTGCATTTATTCAGTGTCTGATAGATTCCCATCTCAGGGAACAAACAGAAGGTTTCCATAAAAAACATGCAGTGCCCCAAGCCTTGCAGGCAGCCAGGGATCCCACCTGAAATCCAGGGGAAGCATTCAAATGTGGAAACATCTCAGCCTCCAATTCTACTTCCAATCAATGCACTCAATCCAAGCCCCTCATGTAACGTCTCATTCATCAGCCAAACCACAGCGGTTTGTACCTGGATCATTCTATTGTCATCTTCTTACTACCCCAAAACAGCAATAGACAAATTCCAATTTCATTACCAAGATCTTGATTCCAGTCACTGATGCATTTACTGGAAGAACCCAAAGGTAATTTTATTTCCAGTTTCCTAGACTGTCCCAATAATAAAAAATAAAACCTTCCGTGGGTAATGCAAACGAGACCAATGGAGACATTAGGAGAAATTTCAGATATTCTTAAGCCAATAGAAACCCCACCCACAGGGAAAGGTCATGACACCTGGTTAAATTATATACATGGGCTTGAACAGCAGGAACTCCAGGAGAGCATCCAAAAGCTTGGGAAAAGATGTTTACATGGAGAACAGTGACTGTCCCAGCTGGGTGGACAAGGACCTTCCTCTCCCCAGGAGCTCAGCCAGGCTGATTCCCACCTCAGTTTGCAGGGATTCTGCACAGCAGCTCAGGAGGCTCTGCCAGGGCTGCCTCGAGTCCCTGGCTGTGCCCCAGCACAGCCCCTGGGCTGCCCCAGCCTCAGCTGCACCCACGTTTCTTTTCCATGCCAACATATTTCCATCTTACTCAGAAAGCTGTTTGTCCCTTAATAGGGCACATTTTCCAACCAGCTTTGTTGTTCTGCAAATTATGGGCTTTAAAGAATTAATGGTGGAATATAAATCAATTTAGTTCACTGAGAGAGTGTGTGTTTTATGTGGTAGAGGTTTTCAAAGAAAAGTAATTAGTTGATTTGGCATTTTAATCTTCAGAAAAATAAAGAAGCTATTTTTCTCCTAAGAGGATGTGTTTGAACACATAAACATATGCTGCATTTTCTGAAACTATATTAAGAAATATTATTTATTGGTTAGATGTGGCTGATAACTATTTCTATTGTCTCAGGAAGATTCTTTGCGATAAAGATTTCACTACAGGGACTGCATTTCACTTTCCAAAATGCCTGACCAAAGGCTTTGAAAAAAAAAGCCAGAGAGGTCCGGTTTGTTTGTCTCCCAGGAATGTCCCTTTCCCAGGGATGCTCTTTTCTCCCTTCTCTGTTTTGTGGAGATTCCATGGCCACAGGGCTGACGTGTCCCAGCAGCTCATCCCTCCATAGCTGTGCCAGGCACTGTCCATCAGCAGCAAACAGGCACCAGGGAGGCTCAGATCCTGCTCTGGTGCCCGTGTGTGTGTGTGTGTGTGTGTGTGTGTGTGTGTGTGTGTGTGTGTGTGAGTGAGTGAGGAGAACTCAGGCAGAGCTGGGCTGATGGGGAGCAGCAGCCCCCTCCCGGGGACTATTGCATAAGATGCCTCTGCTTTGCAGTTTGTTCTCTCCCTGGCTGCAGCCCGAGTGTCTGAAGCCAAAGGGCTGTTTTGTGCTTTGGGAGAGAATAAGCCTGTCCCACTGGTGAGTGTCATTTGCCCTCTCCATGTCTGTGCCACACAAAAAAAGATTCCACCTTCCTCCCTTTGCTGAATTTCCCACATTAACACTCTGGGTGTGTTCAGCAGAGCCAAAGCAAAGCCAGCCAGCCACGCATCTGAGTTTGCTTTCCCCCTGCTCCCCCAGAACAACTCATTTAACAGCAGCACAGCAATTAGAAAATCGATATTCCATTCAGACATGACTGTTTTGGCTGCAGCATTGCTCAAGGAACTTCTCTGGCAGCCTCATCTTTGCCTGGACAAAGGATAAGGCAGGAAGGACACTGGTGTTGGGAGATCTGATTGATTTAAGATGATTTCTCTTAAAGCCCACACGGTATTTGCAGACTGTTTCAGGCACAGGCAGTGTGGAGATGACATTCTCCTAATAAGCAGCTCTGTGCCAGGAGTGTGTGTATAAATACAGCTGCAGAGAAATGCAAGCTTGCTTTCTTGTTTAATATCACACCACCCACCTGAATAAAACAGAACCTGACACATGTCATAAGGAATTACTGGAAGAATGCAAGGCCCTTAGGCACCAGAGCCCCATTTGTATTCCAGTCGTATTAACCAAAAATAAAATAAATAAGTAACAATCACATCTTTGCCATGAAAGGATTTTCCAGCCATTCAAGCACTTACTACGACACTGCTACACATTCCTGTGCTGGAAGTGCAAGGGCAGCAAAGGGGAGGGAAACAGAGACAAAGCAAAGAGCAGAAATCACAACGGAGAAATTAGTGAGATTTGCTGCTTTGGAGTTCGTGCTGTAAACTCAGCCTGGCCCAGCACAGGCTTGTCCAGCTCAGCCTGGTCCAGCTCAGCCCAGCCCAGCGTCTTCCCCGAATTCTATAATTAGTATCAGTGATTATTCCAGCAGGATTCAGAACCCTGCCCATCTGCAGAGTGCAGGGTGGGAGCAGCCTGCTTTGTTTTCATGTTATTTAAAATAAGAACCGTAATTGCCAATTGTTGTGGTGGAAAACCACTCCCTTATGGAGACAGGCACGATGGAAAGCACTGTGTGGGCTCCACCTTTCCGAGCCACTAGGGAGAGTGGGAAAGCAAAAATTCCCCAAACTCTGAGCAAACCCACCCACCTTCCCCAGAAAAGTGAAAATCAGATATGTGGTTACTAAATTAAGGAGCAGGAACTCCTTCTGCAGGGAACACGAGCGCTGAAAGCCGTCCAACGCAGCCCGTCCCACATAGCAGCCCCTGGTTTGTTTGCCTGGGTGTGCTGTTGTGTAAGCCATAATTATGCAATCTCACAGTTTAGCACTGAGGACATTCCCAGCTTGTTCCAGCTCGGCAGCAGCAGCTCATGGCCATAAATGCAAAAGCCAGACTTTTCCCACAAATGTACTGACATGGAATAATGTGACCTCTTGTAGCACGGAAAAGGGCAGTGCAGAGATGAGCTCTGGGAAAAGGGGGCACTGCTGGCCAAAATTACCAGCAGTGGACTTCCAGTTAATGCAAAATGAAGCCAGCCATGGCAGGGACACGTGGAACCTTTGAACTGGTTCCTGATGAGGTTTCCATAAATTGGATGCCCTGACACAGTAAAGTGGGAGATCTGTGACCTCAGGAGCAGCACAACAAACAGCTACACAGAGAGACACTGCACTGAGAGAAAGCATTTCCCAGTGCACTTTCTGATGGAAATGGTACATAAAATCCCTGGACAAAACAGCCCATCCTCAGTCATCACTACAAACTGCTCCATTTGATGACTTTTTTTGGGTCATTAGTCACCCAAGTAATTTTTCAGCAAAAAAAGATTTCTTAGTTGACTTTTTCAGGCAAAATTAGTCTGATTTTGAAGATTCACCAATAGTTGTAAATAATGGTCAGATGCCAGGAACAGCTGTAATCACTGGTTCAAAGTATTTCATCTCCAGAGACATCCAATGGGTTTTGAAGATCTCTTTATGTTAACTCAATTTCAGAGCTGAACACAGTCAGGAGGAGTCACTTCCTCCAACGCATTGTACTGACACCCAAGTGTTGTTCTTTATGTCCCAAACACCAGGAGCACAAATCAAATTGAATCCTGTGCTCTTTATGCACTGACATTTATAGAAAGAAAAACATGTCAGAGGAAGAAAAGTGTCCACAGAACCAGTCAGGGCTGAGTGATGCTTTCTCAGCTTCTCGGAGATGGGGCGGTGGCTTCACCACATCACAGGCAGAAAATCAAAGTGCCAAGGTGCAGGTGACAGAGCACAGCAGTTCTGGGAGCTCTGACACTGCTCCAGCCCGGGGCTCACTGCAGCTCTGAGAATGCCATGGGCTCCCCTCTGGGCTGGGAATATCAGGGGCTGTGGAATTATCACAGAATCCCAGACTGGGTTGGGTTGGGAGGGACCTGAAAGCCCATCCAGTGCCACCCCTGCCATGGCAGGGACACCTTCCACTGGCCCAGGTTGCTCCAAGCCCTGTCCAACCTGGCCTTGGACACTTCTCGGGATCCAGGGCACCCCGTGCTGGGGTGTCCTCGCCCTTACAGGGAAGGATTCCCTCCCAGTATCCCTTCTAACCCTGTGCTCTGTCAGCCATTCTTCCTTGTCCTATCACTTGTAAAAATCCCTCTCTTAAATGTTTAAGGAAACTTGATATTTCCAAAACCTTCAGATTTACGATTGGACTGGTGGAATTATTTAGGTCAAGTCATGCTTTGCATGTTAATTTGAAAAAATAATCAAATCTAATGTGAGTTTCAGAACACCAACACCAGGACAGCCAGCCCAGGAAATTATTGATGAGCTTTCAGACAGGACTGAAGCAATTAAGAGTCACTTCTGGTTGCCTGAAAGCAGCTTGGTCACCTGAGTCCAGCTGTGAGGCAGAGAGAGGAGATCCCTGAGCTGTCCTTCAGGGCCACATTCACACACAGGATGTTTTTTCCCCGTTTCTCTAAGTTGTTATTGGAAAATGTCACTGTTCATTGCTGAGGTTCCCGGGATGCAGCAGCTCTCATTACACCTAAGCCTTCTCAGCACAAAGTAGCCACAGATAACCTGGATGTATTTGCTGCAGCTGCTGTTCCAGAGGCTGCACTCCCATTCCGTGGGGGGATTCCCATCATTATTGGCTCTGTTATTTTATATCTCATCCCTCTGTGTATTGCTGACTCCAGATCCCTTCATTTGAACAAAAGGATGTGTTCCTCTGACACGAGCAGGGATGAGGAGTCTCAGGGATGGAAAGGCAGCAGGTCATGATGTGCCTGGGATGAGGGCATGGAGTCCTGGAGCCTCTGTCCCTGTGGGAGCTCTGGAGCCTCTGTCCCTGTGGGAGCCCTGGAGCCTCTGTCCCTGTGGGAGCCCTGGAGCCTCTGTCCCTGTGGGAGCCCTGGAGCCTCTGTCCCCATGGAGCCCTGGAGCCTCTGTCCCCACGGGAGCCCTGGAGCCTCTGTCCCTGTGGGAGCCCTGGAGCCTCTGTCCCTGTGGGAGCCCTGCAGCCTCTGTCCCCACAGGAGCCCTGGAGCCTCTGTCCCTGTGGGAGCCCTGGAGCCTCTGTCCCCACAGGGGCCCTGGAGCCTCTGTCCCCACAGGAGCCCTGGAGCCTCTGTCCCCACAGGAGCTCTGGAGCCTCTGTCCCTGCAGCTCACAGATCCCTGATCAGAACTGCCAGTGCTTTCAAGGAAAGCAGGTGTAGAAAAGATGTTTCTTCCAAGAACATAATACTGTACATGAGCAAACACACTGAGTAGGGAATGGCTCAAAGTGATAAAAATGGAAAACAATTCAAGTGGAGTGTCTTTAGCTGGAAAAGACAAGGAGACACAACAGGACATTATCTGCAAGTAACGCATGGTAGAATCAGGAATGAATTGCCTGTTTCTATTTACTGTCTTTTCTAAAACGGCCAATGAATAGATAAGAAAGATGAAAGATAATGGACTTTCTAAGATTAAAAACTCTCAGTGCTCTAAATTATGTATCAGACAGTGTCTGTTTGTGGAATTCATTGATACAAGATGTAATTGAGACCAGCAACTTCACACCACTCAAAGAGGATTATTGTTATTTTTTAAGACAATGGAACTTTTTCTGCCATTCAGAAGAGAGAACAAAGCTCCCAAGTCAGGGAATAACAGGGAGCTGGTCCTGGCTCATTGGCCACCCCTTGGACATGCTGGAGTCCCTGTGTTCCTCCCTCCCTGCTATCAGTGTGTACCTGAGGGTGTGTGGAGGCTCTGCTGTTGTGTGAGAGGTTGGGACTGTGATTAATAAAGTGAGGGAGAGCTTCAACATGAGTGACTTTATCTAACTAGGGTGAGACACCCTGTACAGAGAGATCTTCAGAAATAAAGGCATCAAGGCAAACTTCTCTCAAGTGTGTGTCAGAGCAGGTACAAGAGGGCCACGATAATGAAAAAAAAGACAAATAATTCTTTGCCCTTTTCTTGCAGGCTTCACTCAAGGACTGGAATTGCTCTATGAATACATATCACAGAGCTGCCAACAGACTTGGGAGGCAGCAGTGTTATACAAAGATCATAAGCCACGCTTAAGAGATGATAGTTAAAAAAGAATCCAATGCTGCAGTCAGCTGATGATTTTTCCTATATCTTCTGTTACAACATGTTTAAACAGAATCAAAATTATTACCTGCTCTGTAGGGCACAAATGCCCGTGTAAATGAAACTGGGAGTAACTAGTTAAAGGAAGAAGGATTGAGAAGATTAATGTGAGCTACACTCACTTCCCTAGATGGCTCAGAGAGCTTATAACAGAATTGGGATGCTGGAAAGCAATTAAAAGAACTAACTTAAATAAATCTCTAGTGCTGAAGGTTTGCCAGCATATACCTCTAAATTTTCCTCTGATGCAACCAGGCCCCCTCCTCCAGGGATGTTCTAACAAGCTCTCAGACATCAGGATAATTATTGCAAAGTGTGACCCAGACTGTGGTTACTGGTATAATCAAAAAACCCCTCGAGGTTTCAAAATTAGACACGGTCTCCCGGGTGGAGCAGAGCTCCCAACTCTTGGAAACTGCTGTAA